ACAGTTGTATTTTCCGAACATCGGATTCTGGCAGAACACTTGAAAGAAACCTATGATCGGAAACCCCCATCCAGCCTGTTTATTTACTTTCACAGACCATGTTGCATAGCGGTGGAATAAGGCAGAGTAGAATGCTATCCAGTTCAGTGTATTGCCCTTCTACGACGTAGCTATTGCAAGTTGGTCCGTACTCTGCATCGGCGTGGTAATATTGAAGTAAGAAATGAACCTGTAAATGTTCATTGACAACTCTATCTTGTATGGGTTCATATATTACTATGTACCTCATATTGTTTTACGTGTTGCTATTTAAACACTAATATAAAAGATAGCATTTATATTAACTATCAGAAGCCGGCGAGCTAGCTTATTTTCTTTACCTAAAATATTGAACAACCTCAACATCCCTTTCAGTTGTCCTAATACACTTCAAGTGCTCTGAAGACATATTTTCATAAATACTTGCAACTTAATTCATCTAACCTATTCTTACCACTGCTTTCCTTAATGACAATGAACCCCAAGAACGAAAATGTGTTGAGGCAAGTCCCGAAGGCGTGGTACAGTGTGAAAAGCGATAGGCAGTCATGTTTAATAATGGCGGCTTCCAATAGTATTTATTTTGTTCCTCTGTTAAACCTAGTACACAGCGCTTTGGAGAAAAATAAATACCTGTGACCTATAAATACGATCCGATCTTAACATTGGTGTTTTACAGTCAAACAAAAGGAGTTTGGATCACTACCAAGTATGCTAAGTCCATAATAAGTGGTCATGTATGTCACATATCATTGTTAGTGTAGGTTGAGGATACCTATATAAATGTTGTGTGTACTCCGTGATGTAGCTGGAAACTGACCTATCAAGAGCAACGTAGCTTTCAATAATACTAAAATATCCTAAACACTCGAAAATTTCTCCAGATTCTTAATTCAAGCTTTCGGTACAAGCCACTTAGCAGGTGTGAAGTTTATCTAAGTATTCGGAAGGTCAATCGTCTCGTTTTTGCTGGACATAACTGTCTCCCTTGGGTTTATTTATGCGGCACAAATCAGTTCTAGTAAGTGGTTGTTTGAACTCTAGGAGCCCAGTTGGGGACTCGGAGTGTATACGTAATTGACATTTTTGTTATCCCTAACCAGTTATAGAGTTAATTTGAAATATGTATCCACTGTGCTTACTCATTCTGAGGTGATAGTCACAACTCAACGGCATCCCAGGAAATTCTGGTTGTATAGTCAAATTTTCCTGTCCTACAACTCAAGCTACGTAATAACTCAAGCTTAGCTGTTAAGGCGTTTGTCTTTCAGCCACTAGGTCTCACACCCAAACCTTCCTTCACTTACTTTGTTTTGGGCAGTATCATTAGATCTTACAATTAAAGTGTAGCTCATACCCAAGTACTTAGTAAATGAGTTGACTATTTGTTTTCTTATCCACTGAGTAGTTATATTTGAAAATAGAGGAATAAAAACAAGAACAATTTGAAAAAAACCTATCACTTGTCGGTCCTAAATTCACTTGACAAGTTCAGACAAAGGATTTAACGTCTGACCAGTGATTGTCTATTAGGATGTGTTGATAAACATCATAGAATGATGTAACTAGGACTTGTCAATCCAGCAACACTACCCATTCATTTTTTAAATAAGATTTCCTATAACCAGAAACCTAAGCTTATTGTTTGCTAGATTAATTTATCGTCGTTGTTCATAGACTTTTTTTTCCATTTTTAGGTCTTGATAAAATGATTCACTTGTATTTAAAACGTCAAAGCAACATCGTAGATAATGATTCCAACCTGGAAAAGAACCGTGAAAAACTATGTCGTTTGTTAGAGACTGCCAGATCACAGAAGAATTCTGGTAATACAGTCGTCAAAAAGCTGAAGGGATCTGCAACGCGTAAGATTCGTTCAGCTGTATCACAAAATTTCACGAAGCACACACGCCGGGTCCCAGGCTTGAATGCTAAGTCAGAAAAAATCCCTGTTGATCACTGGCCCTCGTAAGTTTATTTGTATTATCCTGGTCACTACATCTAAATAGTAACTAAACCCCTTTAAATGTTATTTAACTTTTTAACATGCTTTTCGATCATCTATTGTAAAAATTTATCATATATTCATAGTACACTTCAGGGTGAAATGATGCCATCTTATATGTTGTAGTTGAAATTATTTGCAAACATTGTGAATCTTTTCAAATAATTTGATTTTAAACTAGAAAGATATGATTGACGTTACGTTTTTCCATTGCTAACTAAGAGCTTAACTAATAAAATGTCTGTTTGGAGAATGCAATGTGTTGTTCTACATAGTGAAGTCATGACTATGTGGATCAATGATTTAAATATCCGTATCAACTTTTTACATTTACATATAGGTCAGAAAATGGCTTTTTCTGTTTACTTAGAGGATTTCTTACACATGGGGGTGTACGGAGGAGATTAACTACAGCTCAGATTTGTGAATATGTTCGTGAATGGCAAGTTTGCAATCAAAACAGGTTAAGAACGGTTGGGAGAGGTTGCAGCTGGATCGACCGGGTAAATTATGTAAAGTGTTTATTTTCGAAATGCATCTGTAAGAATGTAGTTCAATTTCGTCCCTAAAAATGAATTCTTTAGTTCGTGTAATTAACCGCTTGTGTCATTGAATAAAAATAAAGAAAATTCATCGGATAGAATTTTCCTTTCCATGAAATCTTTAATCACTTTATGATCCAAACTTTTATGTCCTTCTATAAACTTACATATCTATCAAACTTCTGCAGTTTCTCATTCATGGTCGATATATCAGAATGCAGAAAAAATATTTATTTATTCAAACACATGAAATCTGGTACAATTAGGCACCGAATGTATGTGTGCCACACTTCATTCGATTTTTGTGAGAACTGGAATACTGCCTGGGAGCCAAAACAGAAGCTCGTGGTTTTCTTAGAGGGTCATACCCCGAGCCTTTGACCTATAGGTCTAATCCACAAGGCAGTAGAGCAACGTTAAGAGATACAGTCTTACGGTAACCGGTGACCAACAGCATGTCCATACGCTATTTGTTCCCCCAGGATACTGGAGCTCATGTGCACCACGAGAGGGCAGTGTTTTGAGATGGTGGACTTCCCTGATAGTAGCTGTATACATGTGTTCATGTGGGAGCATTTTGAAAGGGAGAGCTGGTTCTCCTCACTCTCAACCGTACCAGGGCATTTGGGGGCATAAAAATCTAACTTATGTGGTATTTGTGAGAAAGTCATTTTTAAGTTACAATAGTAGCTAATGAAAGCAATGACAAACTGAACATGCTTAGAGCTAAAACTTTTATTTTTAAGCTGCAAATATGTGTTAACGTCAATCATTTCATAGCTTTTAGTACGACTGGATAATTTCTGAGATGCTCATCAGTTAATACTTTACTGCCAAGAACTTTTCGATTTCTATCAGTCACAAATCATTGCGTAGATTTTACTTTTCTCCGTTTGCGTAATATCCACGATTGTATTAACTAATTCAGTGATTGAAATGTAGTTAATGACAATCAGTTTTGTATCATTACACATATATGTACTAAATGCGAAACTCTTAAGATGTTTAAGCGCCTTTACTGTAGTAAGTAGAAATCCTTCATTGATAACTTACTTACTTACTTACGCCTGTTACTCCTCGTGAAAGAGCGTAGGTCGCTCACCAGCATTCTCCATCCAACCCTGTCCTGGGCAATCCTTTCCAGCTCCTTCCAGTTCCTATTCATCCTTTTCATATCTGCTTCTATTATCCGACGTAATGTGTTCTTTGGCCTTCCTCTTTTCCGCTTCCCTTCAGGATTCCAAGTTAGGGCTTGTCTCGTGATGCAGTTTGATGATTTGCGTAATGTATGTCCTATCCATGTCCATCGTCTTTTCCTAATTTCTTCTTCAGCTGGAAGTTGGTTTGTTCTCTCCCACAGAAGGCTATTGCTGATGGTATCCGGCCAATGGATGTTGAGTATCTTGCGTAGACAGCTATTTATAAATGCTTGTACCGTCTTGATTGTGGTTGTTGTAGTTCTCCAAGTTTCAGCTCCGTACAGTAGAACTAACTGCGTTGACATTCGTATTGAAGATTCTCACTTTGTTATTGGTTGACAGTTGTTTTGAGTTCCATATGTTCTTCAATTGTAGGAATGCGACCCTTGCTTTGCCGATCCTCGCCTTTACGTCTGCATCTGAACCTCCTTGTTCATCGATGATGCTTCCGAGGTATGTGAAGGATTCTACATCTTCCAGAGTTTCGCCATCAAGAGCGATTGGATTGCTGTTCTCCGCTTTGAATTTGAGGACCTTGGTTTTCCTTTTGTGTATACTGAGGCCTACTGATGCAGAGACTGCTGCTACACTGGCTGTCTTCATCTGCATCTGTTCGTGTGTACGTAATAGGAGGGCTAGGTCATGTGCGAAGTCCAAATCGTCTAATTGATTCTGAGCTGTCCATTGTATCCCGTGTTTTCCTTCAGATGTCGAGGTCTTCATAATCCAGTCGACCACCAGAAGAAAGAGGAAGGGGGAGAGTAGACAGCCTTGTCTGACTCCGGCCCTTACTTGGAATGCATCTGTCAGCTGTCCTCCATGCACTGCTTTGCACTGTATTCCGTCGTATGAGTTCCGGATAATATTGACAATCTTCTCAGGAACTCCGTAGTGTTGCAATTTGGTCTGTGCACGACCGATCCTTACGGAATCCAGCTTGTTGATCTCGAAGTTGGGCGTCTACTGCATCCTTCATCCGGTTCAGCAACACTCTGTTAAAGACTTTCCCTGGTATTGACAGTAGTGTAATGCCTCTGTAGTTTTCGCATTTGCTCAGATCTCCTTTCTTTGGAATCTTGACGAGGTGTCCTTCTTTCCAGTTCATCGGCACTTATTCCTCCTCCCAAATCTTTTTGAATATAAGGTAAAGCATGTTTGTAGTTACTTCGATGTCTGACTTCAGTGCTTCAGCTGGTATGTTGTCGGGTCCTGCTGCTTTCGCGCTCTTGATTTGTCTGGCCATTCTGATTTCTTCCGTCGTTGGTGGGTTGACATCTATAGGAAGATCTGTGTGTGCTGCTTCGATGTCCACTAGATTCATTGGAGCCGGCCTATTCAGGAGTTCCTCGAAGTATTCTACCCATCTGTTCCACTGTTGTTGAATTTCAGTGATTGGCTTGCCTTCTTTGTCTTTGACCGGTCTCTCTGGTTTACTGTATTTCCCTGCTAGTTTCTTCGTTGTATCGTGAAGCTGTTTCATATTTCCTTCTCTAGCAGCTTTTTCTGCCGTCGTTGCTAATTCTTCCGCGTATTTCTTCCTGTCGGCTCTAATGCTCCTCTTCACTTGTTTGTTTGCTTCTATGTATTCAGCTTGTGTTTGGACTTTCTCTGCTCGTGTTCGGCTGTTGTTAATTGCTGCCTTCTTGTTCTTCCTTTCTTTGATCTTGTCCAGAGTTTCTATAGAGATCCATTCCTTATGATGGTGTTTCTTTAGGCCCAGAACCTCTTGACACGTTGAATTTAATGCTTCCTTGATGCTTTTCCAGTTGTCCTCCATAGTAGTTTCTTCTTCCTTCAGTAGATCTTGTAAGGTTGTTGTTGAGAGCTATCTTGAATTCACTGAGTTTGTCAGTATCTCGAAGGAAGGCTGTATTGAACCTTTGTAGTGCTGTTTGTCCAGTTGTCCAGTTCTTTTTTAGCTTCAGTTTTAAATTGGCTACAACTAGGTGGTGATCTGAAGCTATGTCAGCTGCTCTCCTGTTTCTCACATCTTCTATTGTCCTTCGGAATTTTTTGTTGATGAAAATATGATCTATCTGGTTCTCTGTAGTGTGGTTCGGTTATATCCATGTCGCCTTGTGTATACGTTTGTGTGGAAATATTGTGTCCCCTATGACCAATTTGTTGAATGCACATAGATTTGCAAATCTTTCTCCATTTTCATTTCTCTGTCCCAGTCCATGTCGCCCCATGATATCTTCATATCCCGTGTTGTCTATCCCGACTTTGGCATTTAGATCTCCCATTAGAATCGTGAGGTCCTTTCTTGGGCATTTCTCTATGATTGACTGCAGCCGCTCGTAGAATTGATCTTTAATGTCGTCGTTGCTATCATTGGTGGGTGCATAACATTGTATAATATTCATTGTGATCCTCTCCTTCTTTGTTTTGAATGATGCTTTGATGATTCTGTATCCGTGAGATTCCCATCCTACAAGTGAATTTCGTGCTACTTCGGACAGCATTAGAGCAACTCCCTGAGTGTGTGGAGCATTTTCCTCTTCGTGACCGGAGTATAGTAGCATCTCTCCCATATTTAGCCTTTGTTGTTCAGCTTGGGTCCAATGGGTTTCGCTGATTCCCAGTACTGCCAAGTTGTATCTCCTCATTTCAGTTGCTATTTGACTGGTCTTCCCGATCTTCCACATTGTTCGGACGTACCTATAAAAATTGTTGCTCTGGTTGTTAGAAGGGGCATCGGTCTCGTGGCTTCCGAAGGAACTCGCTTTCACCATGAGGCGTCATAGTTCTTCTAAATGAAGGCCTAACTCCCAGAGCAGAGTTAAAATGGTTTGGATTATTTTTTCTGGTTAGCGTTTTTTAGCGAGTTAGTTTTCTTCGGATGGGTTCGCTAACCCCATGCCCAACCCTCGTCCTTTACTCGGGCTTGGGACCGTCAGTAACTCTAGAAGAGCTACAGGCGGAGTTTTCATTGATAACAATTAGACGATATTTTGTCTGTTTGGTCCTTAGTTTGCCTCGGTGTATCAACCCGATTTCACGACTATCAGTTTACAGACAGTTGATAATTTCGATCTACATTTAGTTTAGTTTTTGTTTTAATGTAACACGATTTTTATTCAGGTTGAAGACTGGTCTTCTGTAGCTCATCATGCATTAGATTTTCTTACCGCAGAAAGTTCACCCGAAAGTGTCATACGTAACAGTTCTCGCCGGCTTGTATGTCCGAGACCATTTGTTAGTTTAAAACCGCGCATTCATCAGTGGTGTTGGCTCCTGTGCCCCCCATCAGGAATAAACCCTCAAGTCGACCAAGAATGGATCCAAAAATTTGAACTGGAAACCAGAGAGTTGACGGGTTTATTTTCTGACTGGCTTCGAGCTCCTCGTGGTCTTGGTGGGTTGACAGATGCAGTTTTGTCGATAACAGACTCCTTGCTTTTGAGTGGGAGGAATAAAGTCAAATCCGTTAAGAATACAAATTCTTCAGTTAAGGAAAAACAGTATTCTGATGGATCTGATGGTGATGGTGATGTAGAAGACTCAGAAATTGATGAAGGTGAAAAATGTTTACGAATAGATGATTGCCAAGTTGAGTCAGATGATGGCGATAAGAAAAGTGGAGACATCCAAAAGATTAGAAGAAACATTTCATCAAAACACTCTCAACAGTCAATATCCCATGAAGATAATCGACTTTATTCCGACGATGATATCCCTCCACCACTTTAGTAAGTCTAATTTCATCAGCCATATATTTTCACTTTTGAGATTTAAACTATCGATTGTGACCATAACTCTATTTTTCACGTACGTTTTTTTAAGAGATAAGTGTTTTTTAGGTTATTTTATTCTTAGTTATTAAAAATTAAACGTATAAATTTTTCAGCCTAAACATATACAACTTTAAGGACAGAAATAATGATTGTAATCAACATTAAAATGGTTCTTTGGTTATTGATATGTACTGATTTTACATTCGTAAGCCCTTCTTGCTATTATTTACACGCTCAGTAGATGCTCGGTGCCTGTACTTAAGTAAAGTTCGTGTTTTAGACAAATGGAATAAAAAACTGTGTCATGATGGCTTTCTTAATTCAAAATGTTCCTACTTCCAGTAGCACGGAAACAAAACAGTTCAGTATTAAAACAGAGATATATCATTAAATATAAATTGACCACGATATTTCACTGTACGTAAGTGTTGTTGCACAGAAACACAATGTCCCGACAAATTGTTCATTTATGCAATTGTGGCATAAAGATTATGTAATTGGCATTTTTCTCTGTTGTGTACAAGAGAGCGCCAATATATATGCGCCACACAAAACAATGAAAATTCGAGAGGAATACGAAGACGGAAAAAAAAGTTAAGGAGCGCAACAAAAAAAAGAGAGAACAATAACGAAGAGATTGGTGTAAGGTAATGTGCTAGTAATCAGGGAACGCAAAGGTACAATCGGAAGAAATCTTTCAGGTAAGGGAGACAGAACCACTTTTTATGAAGAAAGTAAAAGAAGGTTACAGCAGGATCGCCACTGGCTTCTATTCTGAGCCACATCTGATAACGTCTCTAGCCACTGTGTAGCACCATCTCTCAGACCCCAACCAGGGAGTCGTGAAGGACCGACAGAAGCCAGTCCTTTGCAGCTTTCTTTCATGCCACGACACCATGTTATGCACTGACCACCTCTCCGCTTCTTCCAACCAGTCCCAGAGTCGGCAAATAATGCACGACGTGGAATCCTCTGGGACGACATTCGGAGAACATGTCCAAGCCACCGAAGTCGGTGTTTCAAGATGGTGACACCAATTGAATTATCATCTCTGTGCCCGAACACACGATGCCGAACCTCTGCATTACTGACATGGTGTTGCCACTGAATGTCAGCAATCCTTCGGAGACAGCGATGATCGAACACAGAGAGTCGTCTAACGTCCTCAACTCGGAGAGACCAGGTTTCATAAGCATAGAGCAAAACTACTCTCACCGACGCGTTGTAGATCCGATCTTTTACAGCCAGACTAACATCACGAAGGCGCCATAGATGGCCCAGATTGGCATAAGCCGCTCTGGCTTTCACTATACGTGCATTGATCTCATCACTCACACCCCCACCAGCACTTATGCAGCTACCCAGGTACACGAACTTCTCGACTACGTCTATCTGCTCACCATCCAGGGTGAGTACAGGATTGGAATCCTGCCAGTCTTGTAGGAGTACTTTGCACTTCGAAGGTGCAAAGCACATACCATACCTACGGACACTGATTGCCAACTGATTAAGTGCGGATTGCATGCCTTGGGCATTATCGCACAGCAAGACAATATCGTCCGCATACTCAAGGTCGAGAAGTTTCTCCAGGCAACAGATCCACACCACCATTACTTACATTCATCAGAGCTGTTTCCAGAATGTCATCGATGGCAAAGTTGAAGAGGAATGGTGAGATTGGGCAACCCTGCCTAACCCCACTACTCGAATGGAACAATGGAGAGAGGCGGTTGTATGCCCTCTCTCTGCCTGAGGTGTTTTTATATAGGGCTTTTAGGATGTTAGTAAACTTCTCAGGCACACCCTTCTTCAATAGACAATCCCAGAGAACAGTTCTGTTCAACGAATCGAAGCAGCCCTGATGTCAAGAAACACTACGATTGTTGGCCTTTAATAAGTATGGCGGTGTTCTAACATTTGGCGGAGGGTGAAGATATGATCAATACATCCTCGATCAGAACGAAACCCAGCCTGCTCCTCGCGAGTCAATCTTTCTCGGGTTTTGAACAACCTACGAAGTATGATGGAAGCCAATAGCTTGGATGCAATCGGAAGTAGACTTATCCCCCGATAGTTGTTACAGGAACGACGTGAACCCTTTTTAAAGATAGGGACAACTATCGGCTCATTCCATGACGTTGGTACACTCTCTAGTTCCCAAACCTTTGTAAACAACGTCGTCAATTCCTTAGTCAAAAAGTCACCACCATCTTTAAAAAGAGCCGGAGGTAAGTCATCTGGGCCAGGTGATTTGTAACGCTTCAAGAGTTGGAGTTCCTTGCGGACTTCCTCCTCATTTGGTGGATCAGTCGTCACCGGCCATGGAGGGCAGGACAGTCTGACCGATGTTGCTGGAGCAGCAGGCCAGTTGAACTGCCCTTCGAAAAATTCTGCCCACCGTCCAAGACGTCGATGGATGTTAGTGATTGGCATCCCATCATCCTCGTAGATTGTTTCACTCACACCAGACTTCTTGCTGTCAGTGACTCGGATGAGCTGGAAGAGCTTCCGGTAATTACCAGATGCAGCTGCTGCTTCCAGCTCATTAGCACGCTTCGACCACTAGGCTTCTCGGTCCTTACGCAAGCTTTGCCCAATTTCCTTACATAACATCCTTCGTTTATGCTCAAACTCACGGTCACCCATAGTAGACCGACGGGCTTCAATGAGTTGTAAGGAACCAGAAGAAACCAGTGCTTAAAAGCGGGACGTTTCGCAAACCCACAACTGACTGTTCCCGCCATTTTCATGGCGTCATGCAATTGCAACCAATACTCATCTATACTTTTCGGTGGAGTGGTAGCTAGCCTAGAGGCTAGGTCGGTTCGATACTTATTTGCAACAGAAGTTGCAACCAGCTTGCTAACATCAATCTTTTGATGGTGGTCACTTCGTTGTCCACTGAAAAGTAAGGCAAGATTGGCGCAGACCAAGGCATGGTCAGAGTCCAGATAGGTACTCCAAAAGGAGCGGCAGTCTTTTACACAACCACGCCAGCGGTAGCTGATCGCGATGTGATCAATCTGAGTCCAGGCTTGAGATGCAGAGGGAGGACGCCAGGTGGCACATCGGCGATGACTGTGCCGAAAGTTAGTGCTAGCCAGAAACAGGTTGTGGTCTGTGCACAGTTGCAGTAGACGGTCCCCGTTATCTGACCTGCGACCAACAAGTCCCCATCGGCCACCTAAACGACTCTCTTCTGTGCCTAGACGCCCGACCTGAGCATTCAAGTCTCCGGCTAGTACTACAATATCTGTCGAACGCACTTTCTGGAGAAGAACAGATAACTGGTGGTAAAACTCATCCTTGATTGCATCCGGACTGCAATCTGTCGGGGCATAGGCGGAGATGACGAAAAGACATCGCTTCTCACGTCGATTTCTTCTCACTTTGATGGAACTCTCTAATCTAACAGCACATAACCGACTGTTAATGGGGATCCAATCGACTAGTGCTGCCTCAGCTCGAGCGCTTAGTGTGACACCAACGCCTGCAAGACCAGACGAAGATGCCACAGAGTCCCCGGATAAGCGCACGTAAAACAAGCTTTTGAAGTGACAGATGTAGAGCGAATTTGTAGTACTTCGCCAGAGTCTTGAATACGGGTCTCAGATAGACAACAAACATCAATATTAAGACTTTCCAAAGACATAGCCAGCCCTATCTGTTGTCCGACCTGCATAAATGTGCGAACGTTGAAGGCAGCCAGTTTGAATGGCGCACGTGGTTTCAGAAAAACTGCTTCAGTACTCATATTCGATGGTAACATACAACTTTCAACCGGACAGTGACTCGAGAACGTTTAGATACAGTCGGATTTCCACCAAAGACGAGTCGCTGTATAAGTATAAAAGAGGGTGAATAATGTGGGAAATAATAATAATAATAATAATAATAATAATAATAATAATAATAATAA